TGAGATGCGCACTGCGACTCGCGACGCGTCGGTCAGCAACACAAGCGAAACGAGCAGTTCCACTGTGACCAGCCCGACAGGAAGCAGCATCGCCAGCAGCAGCAGCAGCACAAGCGCCACCAGCAGCACAACTGAGTAGCAAGACAAATGCAGCAACAAAAGTGCCACCTGCAGTGCCACTCCGCCAAGGCCTGTCGGAAGCAGCAACACCACGCGCAGCTCAACGCCTCCAGCAGCAGCAGTAGCGCAAGCAGCATCAGCGCCACCAGCAACGGAGCCACCAGCAGCACCACTGTGACGAGCACAGCGAGAAGCAGCAGCACGACACGCAAGAACACCAGCAACCAACAACACCACCTTGACCCGCACCAGCTCTAACGCAACCAGCAGAGCTACCGCGACGAGCACTGCAGCAGCATTGACGCCGCCACATTCAGTGCTGAGAGCAGCAAATGCACAAGCGAAACCATTAGTAGCTCTACGGCCCACACGGCAGCAAGCAGCACAACCGCGCACGGTAGCACGAACGACCCGAACAGCTCCAGGATGACGAGCTCGACGAGGAACAGCAACAACACACGGATCAGCATCGACGCCGCCAGCACCACCACTGCAACGAGCACGACGGCGAGCAGCAGCGCCAAGCGCAGCAGCACGAGCGTAACCAGCGGCACCACAGCGACGAGCACGACGGGAAGCAGCTGCGCCATGCAAGGCAGCACCAGCACCACCAGGCAATTCGCGCTGGACTGCGCGAACACCCCCACTCCCCCGCCGGCGAGGCTGACGAGGGGGGAAACGCCCCCGAGCCCCAGCGCAAACCGTCACGGCCCGGATTGATCGATTTTGCGCTGGGCACCGGGGCGCGTCCCAAACAAAGATGCGCAGTCCGTCCGTACGAAGTTTGGCTGGGAGGTGCGAGCCCCGCCCCGGAAGCCACAGCTGATCTGCCCAAACCCGATCGGCGTTCGCTCCCAGGGGGAAGGGTTGCGCCAGCTGGGGCCTATAGTAGCAGCACGAGCCAAGACCGCCACAACGAGCGCGAGAACGGGGTAACGGCTCGCTGTGGGCCCTCTGTTAGCGCCCGCCGTCTGCTGCTGCCCGCCCTAGCCAGCAGATCCAGCGCCCACTGGCCAGCAGCGGCCCCTGGGCAGCGCCCTCCAGCCGTCGTCGTCCAGGGCGTCCGACGGCTGCCGCGTTGCCGGCGTCGCCATTGCCCGCTCCGGCTGCGGGCCGCCACGCGTCGGGGGTGCAGCAGGAGAAGTGCAAGCGCAACGAGCAAATTCTACTGTGACAAGCACGACAAGGAACATCAGCACCACTCGCAGCAGCACCAGCACCACCAGCAATGTCTCTGTCAGTAGCACGAGAAAGACTAGCAGCACCACCAGTGCGACCAACCCGACAGGAACCAGCAGCACCACCAGCAGCAGCGCGCAGGCCACCAGCAGCACTGCGATAATATGACCACCCCTAGCGTCACTGGTGGCACCTGTGGCCACAACGAAAGTAAGCAGCATCACCACACACAGCAACACCAGCGCCACAAGAAGCAGCACAATCACGCGCCCCAGCACAAGCGCAACCAGCAGCAACAGTGTGACCAGCACAACGGTAACCAACAGCACAAGCGTAACAAGCAGTACCGCTTTGACCAGCACGACGGGAAGAAGCTGCACAAAGCGCAGCAGCACGAACGCCACCAGCAGCGCGAGTGTGACCAGCAAAACGGAAAGCAGCAGCCCTACGCGCAGCACAACAGCCACCAGCAACACCACTGTGACCAGCACGGCAGGAAACAGCCACACTACGTTGACAAACCGATCGCAACGAGCAATACCAATGCGACGAGCATCACCAGAGACAGCAGCCTTCCACGAAGCAGCAGCACCAATGCGACCAGCACGACGGGAAAACGCAGCACAACGAGTAGTACTACTGGCGCCATCAGCAGCACCACTGCGACCAGCCCGACGGGAACTAACAGCTCTACGCGCACCAGCACAAGTGCAGCGAGGAGTACCACTGTCAGGAGCATCACTGGAACCGACACCACTAATGCCAGCACGACGGAAACCAACAGTACCATGCGCAGCACCACCAGCGGCACCAGCAGCACCAATGCGACAAGCACTACGGCAACCAGAAGCACAACGCGAAATAATCCTAGCTCTCGAGCGCGAAAGATACCCGTACCCTCACCTAGACAGGGCGCAAAGGGCCGGGGGGGCGGTTCGTCGCAGCTGACGGCGGCTGCACATGTGTAAAAACGACAGCCGATCGAGCATTACAGACCGCTGTCTTCTCGGGGCGCACGTTAGCACCGATCGTGCGTTCGAATCGGCGGAGTGCCCGACCCTGCGTCGGTTGTTGTCGATGTAGACCAGCTACTGCGGAGGCGCACCCCCAGACAGACATCCGGGCGTTGAGGAGTCAACGCGCACTCGGGTGCGCATGCGAACAACTCTGGCGCGAACGCCATTGCGCGACAACCGCCCTATCGCGAATTGCTCGATGCAGAGACATCGAGAATCTGTGCCCTCGGCGAGGTCGCCAGAGGCCGCCCCCCTTGGACGGCCGTCTGCGGATCACCCCAGCTAGGTACGGTTGCCCCATGAAAACCCAAAAAACATACCCGCACCTAGCCAGGGTGCCGCAGCTCACCCCAGCTAGGTCCGGGTATGTTTCGGTGGTTTCAGGCAGGTCCCCGTACCTAGCCGAGGTGGCGGCAGGCCCAAAACGCTCTCGAGCACATATCATGCCCTCCAGAGCCGTCCCCGACGTGGCCGCTGCGGCCCCCTCGGGGCGCGACATTGCAACGTCGTTCCTCGGGGCAGGCCCAGACGCATTGGTTGCCAGAATAGCGAGGAAATGTAACTCTTTATCGGTTGGGACAGGCGCCACCACGCATGGGCGGCTTTTGAACCGCGCACGCACCACGATGCCCCGAGACGTCCCTAACGAAAACCAGCGCTTGTCGCTGCAATCAGACACCCACCCATCGAACGCGCCGTTGCGTCTTGACGCGAAGATGCTGCACTGGCGCGCGCGGGGCAAGCTGACCGGGCACAATAGCAAGCGCCCAGTCCCCCGGACGGCCCATCTCACCTTGGCTGGCCCCGGGTACGGGTATCTTTCGGACCAATGACTAGCGGCAACTTGGCACCAAACTGGCCGCGGACGGAGCCGCGATCCGGAAGCTTGCGCAGCCCACAAGCTTGTGAGGCTGCGTCTTCCCCTGCGACGCGACTGGCGTTCGAAATCAAGATGTGGCAGGCGCCCAAGAGATGGTACAGTCTGTCAATCCAGGCGAGCAGGCCTTTGCAATCAAGGGTGTGGCCGGCGCCGAAGCGGCAGCACAACATTCGCAATCATAGTTTTGGCTGGCGCCAGGCGAGAGCAGCTTTCCGAATCGAGAGCGCAGACCGCGCTGAGGCGAGAACAACAATCGCAATCATGCGTACGGCCGGCGCCCAGGACCAAGGCGAAAGCAGCATTCGAGTCGAGAGTGCGGCCCGCGTTGAGGCGAGAACAATTATCGCAATCATGCGTGCGGCCAGCGCCAAGGAGAAAACAACATTTTCAATCAGATGAGGCCCGTGTCGCAGCGAGAACGGCATGCTCAAAAAAAGATGTGGCTGCCGCCTGGGCGACGACGACATTGTTCATCAGACATGTGACCCGCGCCACAGCGAGAACGACATGCTCAATTAACGATGCGGCTGGCGCCTAGGCGACAGCAGCAGTTTCCATCAGACATGTGACAGGCGCCACAGCGAGAACGACATGCTCAATGAGGGATGTCATCGGCGCCGAGGCAACGGCAGCAGTTCCAATCAGACATGAGGCCTGCGCCAAGGCGAGAACGACATGCTGAATGAACGATGTCGCCAGCGCCTCGGCAACAGCCACATGTTCAATCCAAGATCTGGCCAGTGCCAACGACATGCTCAGTAGAGGATGTTGCCAGCGCCTAAGCGATAGCAACCTTTTCAATCAGACATTTGGATGGCGCCAAAGTGAGAACGACGTTCTCAATGAAAGACGTCGCTGGTGCCTAAGCGGCAGCCACATTTTCAATCAGAGATATGGCCCACGCACAGGCGAGAACGACATTCTCAATGAAGGATGTCACTGGCGCTTAAGCGGCAACAACATTCTCAATCAGAGATGCGGCCCACGCACAAGCCGGAGCATCATTCCGAGACAAGCGTGTCGCCAGAATACAAGTGCCACGCCAATTCCGCGCGGGCCTGGCTCGATGTCACCGAGGTCCAGGTTACGTTAGGTGGGTAGTCCACGTCAAGAGGGGGGTGTACCATCAGCAGCAGCATATTCATCATTCTCCTCATCCTAGCCATCCTCAACATCATAATCCTCATCATCATCATCATCAACAACAACATCATCAACATCATCGTCGTCACCATCATGACCACCACCGTCCATTAAATCACTCGCACCATGACCTGTCATGGCTCATCTTCATAGCCATCCTCCCGTTCCCTCCTCATCACCTCCATCGCCCCATCACCCAAAACAATACCAGAACCTGATCCTCAATCATCCCTGCTCCTCGTGTTCATCCTCCTCCTCCTCCGACCCTCGCTCTCTCTCTCTCTCCCTCTCTCACCCACCCTCATCACTCTCCCTATCCCTCTCCTCACTCACTTACTCACTCCCTCCATCCCTCTCCCACCGCCGCGTCCGCGCGCGTGGTGAAAGAGGAGGAAAACTACGACGACGACGCCGACGACGCCGGGGACGAGGAGAAGGGCGAGAAAAAACGACGGCGGCGGCGGAGGCAACCACGACGACGCCAAAGACGACGACGACGACGAAGACGACGACAACGAAGACGACGACGACGACGCCGGGGACGAGGACAAGGGCGAGAACACCGACGGCGGCGGCGGAGGCGACAGCGACGACGCCAACGACGACGACGACGACGACGACGACGACGACGACGCTGACGACGACGACGACGAGCGGGATGCCTGCACTGCCAGCTTCGCGGGGCTGGGTGGTCCCAAGAGGGCGTCGGACGCGAGGACGCAGAAGATGGCGACGACGTGGTCCAGCAGAGCCTCGAGGTCGGGGGGCCGAGAACGGCGTTTTTTGCTCTGGGTTTCGACATTTGGCCGACGGGTGGGGGAGGGGAGGGGGTCTGGGTCTGGGCCGGTGCTTAGTCGATCTGCTTCTACCAGTCGCCCATGCAGACTGGGGGGAGGGGTCCTGAACAGTCACAAAAAGCAGCCGCACAAAAAGGCCCCAAGACGGCCCAAGAGAGCCCCCAAAAGACTCCCAATGTGGTCCAAGATGGCTGCGCGACCCCCAAAGATCGCTCCAAGACGCCCAAGATGGCCCCAAGACGGTCCAAGAGGCCTTTAAAACGCCTCATGAGGCGTCCAAGAGTCTTCCGAAGAAGGCAGCAAAAGGCCAAGATCATTGATATGTCGTCGGTTTTGAAGGTTTTTGGCGCTCTCGCCCCAAGACCAACCCCAAGATCGCCCCAAGACGGCCCAGAAGGCTTCCAAGGCGATCCCAAGACGGCCCAAGAGGGCCCCAAGACGGGCCAAGAGGCGCCCACGACAGCCCAAGAGGACCCCGAGACGATTCCAAGAGCGCCCCAAAAGGGGGACCACGAACCGAAAATCCACACCTTCCGCCTCAACAGAGCCCCAGGGAGGCCCCAAGAGGCGCGCAGGAGGCCACGAGAGGCCCCCAAGAGGCCCGAAGAGGCCCCGAGAGGCTCCCGAGAGGCCCCCAAGCTGCCCCAAAGAGTCCCCCGAGAGGCCTCGCACGAGATCCCAACGAACGTCCACGAAGCCTCAGACCCAAACCCAGGCACGGTGGCGGGATGGGCCGAAGGCCATTAGATCCGCCGCCCCCTGTCGTTTCATCGCAGGGGTACCTGGCGTGATGAACTTTTACGGTTTTGGTTTTGGTTCTTTTACCAAAAGAGCTCTCACAATGGATTTCGGCCCGTCCCGCCGGCCGCCCCCCAAGACCCGTAAGACGCACACGCCATCGCCCAATCCCAATTCTTCCTCCAAGACGGCCCAACATGGCCTCCAAGATGGCCACGTTGGCCCAAGATGGCCTCCAAGATGGTCCAAGATGGCCTCCAAGTCCGCCCAAGATGGTCCAAGACGGCCTCCAAGACGGCCCAAGAGAGTCCAAGACGGCCCAAGACAGCCCAAACGGCCCCCCGGAGGCCTCCCAGACGGCCCAAGAGGCCTCCAAGAGGCCCCACAGGAGGGCCCGAAGAGGCCAAAATCATTGTTTTTTTCCGTAGGTTTTTGAAGGATGTTGTAATGTGTTTCTTCTCGGCATTCCGACGGCTCAAGACGGCCCAAGAGGCCCCCACGATCGCCCAAAAGGCCCCCAAGAGGGCCCCCCAAGTGGCCTCCAAGATGGCCCCAAGAGGGCCCCAAGACGGCCCAAGAGGCCTCCAACACGCCCAAGATGGCCTCCAAGACGCCCAAGATGGCCTCCAAGACGGCCCCGAAGCGCCCAAAGAGGGTCCCCCGTTGGCGCAGAAAGGCCCCCAAGACGGCTCCCGACAGCGTCAGACGTGCCAGGAACCCACCAAGATGGCCGAAGTTGGCTCGAAGCTGGCCCAAGACGACCCAAGAGGCCCCCAAGAGGGCCTCCAGGAAGGCCAGAAGAGGCCAAAAGCAGTGATTGTCCTGAGGTTTGACAGATTTTGACAGGTCCTTCTTTTCTGCCTTCCGACGGCCCGAGACGGCCTAAGAGCCCCCAAAGATGGCCGAAAGATCGCCCAAGAGGCCTCCAAGACGGCCAAGATGACCTTCAAAATGCCCACGTGTTCCCCGAAGGCTTTCCAAACCGATTCGGGGAACACATGGTCCGATGGCTTGGCAGGTCTGGCCTCTCAACGTTCGGCCACATAGGCGCTTCCAAAAAGGCAGGGGGCGGCGGTGGTTCGCCGTAGGCGTCTTCGATCTATATAGCGCTATCGCTCTCTGTCCCCCTTCCCCTCCAGCGCCCTCTCACTCTCCACATCCGGCTCCTCTCCCTGCCCTTTCTCCATTTCACACTCCTCCTCAATTTCCTCTCCCTCTCCACGTCCCTCTTCATGTCCCTCTGCCTATCCTCTCCCTATCCCTCTCCTCTCCATGTGAAATATCTCCCCCCTCCTCTAAAACCATCCACAAACTGCTGGTAACATGTGACTACAATCGGAACTGTTTATAATCATAAAATTGGATTGGCTCGTCCCTTCTCCTTCAGCATCATCTTCAGCATCTTTCTCGCCATCCCGTCCTCATCCTCCTCCGTCCTCTTGTTCCTCCTCCTCCTCCTCCTCCTCCTCCTCCTACGCCTCCTCATCCTCCTCGTAGTTCCTCCTCCTCCTCCCCCTCCTCCGCCTCCTCCTCCTCCTCCACCTCTTACCTCCCCCTCCCCCATCCCCTGCTCGTCTATCTATCTATCTATCTACGGTTCAAGGCAGAGCGGTGATGCCTGTACAAAGCGGGATTGAAAGAGCAGGACGAGAGCAAGCAGGAAAAGGGGAAGGCGAAGATCCTCGTGAAAAAAACGCTGGGATGATAACGACTGCCCCCTCCCCCCGCGGCGGCGGCCTGGTACACCTCCCAGTGCGAGTCCTCGAGCCCGCCGCAGCCCGACAGCATCTGCTCCGCCCCGAAGGTTGCGATCAGGAGGCCTCCGGGTAGGGGTCCGATCCGCCTTCCTGCCAGCCGTCTTTGCCTCCTCCCCCTCCCCCTCCCGCCTCCTCCCTCCTCCCTCCTCCTCCTCCTACCTCCTCCTCCTCCTCCTCCTCCTCCTCCCTCCTCCTCCTCCTCCTCCTACCAGCCGTCTTTGCCTCCCTACGGCAGGCTCGTGTCGTGCCGACCCCAGCGTTGGTTTTTGACACCGCGCTGGATGGTTCCACCTTGAACGATCGGCCGCTGCCGCAACGTCCGATCGTTCAACATCGATCGATTCTGGGTCGCCGGCGGCGTTCAACCTTGAACGCCCGCGCTGGGGTCGCCGCTGGTCGACACGCCTTGGGATGCACAAAGACGTACTAGTACTATATGTCATCCTTGGACGCGCGCGTCCGACCCGAACATATAATATACCCATCTTGCAGTATATCGTTTCCCGAGCGGTGTGGCCAGAATGCGCCCGCCACGACGCATATACTATAAGATTCCTCGGTGCGCGCGTCGCCCCTGGGAGGGCGACGCACATATAGTATAAGTATGTTGGGGTGTTGCCTACCAGCCGTCTTTGCCTCCCTACCCCCCCCCCCTTCACTCCCCCCCTCGCGGCTAGACAAACAATATGTCATCGCTCCACTGCACGAGCCGCCAGGCGGTGCAGTCTCTGTCCGTGGCCCGCCCCACGGACAACAGTCGACACCGTCCTTCCTCACCGCTGCAGGAGGGACCCAATGCTCACTCTGTCGGTGCCATGTCGGGCCGCCAACAGAGGCGGGCCAACGCGCACTTGTGGTACTGCAAATGGGGTGAGCACAAGCCGTCGGCACCCCGTGGATCAATCGCGCCGATCAAACATGATGGTGCTCGCAGTGCGGATTGCCCAAAGGATCGCCGTTCAAAAAGCACCCGCCAGCACAAGGTCCTCCTGTCACACGTTCCGCCACAGCCGCCAGTGCCCGCGAGCAATCACGTACGAAGCAGCTGGCGGACCTGCGCAGGCAGATGCAGGAGATGGTCGGCAGCGGCGGCGGTGGCGCAAGCCAGGCGGCAGGCCAGTGCGGCATTGTGCCCCCCCCCCCATGGAGTGCTGACAAGGCCGTGCCAGACAGAGACCAGGAAGCGCCTTGACGACATCAATGCATTCCTCAAGTCCAGTCTCCTCGGCAGATCAGAGCGCGACTTGCAGGTCCGCGAGCAGTACACCAATAAGCGTGACGAACTGCAAGCGCAATTGGGGGCCGCCAAACCATTGAAGAAGACCGTCACCGCGCTCTCGAGGCAGTTGCAGGACGCCAGGCGGAAGTAGACGACGTGCCAGTCCAAGCGGGAGGCGGCCAAGCTCGCAGTGGAGAAGGCGCAGAAGGCGCTGGAGCAGGCCAAGCATGACGAGACGGAGGCCGCCAAGCATAGCCTCGAGCTTGAGCCCAGGATGCGCATAGTGGTGGCACAAGGTACCCCAGAGCAGAGTGGCAGCTCCCCGTCCCTCTCAGACTTCATTCCAGGGCTCGAGGCGACGACCGTCGGGCAGTTCGGCAACATCCTGCAGAGCCTGGGCGGAGGCGAACGTTTTGCCGCTGATCTTGCTGCTCTGGCTGCGGTCGTGGACAAACTCAAGGGCGCAGCTGACATGTTGCAGCAGCCGCCCACACCCGAGACGACAGGCCGCGGAGATGGTGGTTCGCAGCCAGGCGGTACCCAGCAGCCTGGCACGCCCGCAGCGGCGGTAGCCGCCACCGCGGACGACGGCGCCCATCGCATGCAGGTCGACTACGATGCCAAGACGCACGTGGACGGCCCACGTGCCGCGAGCCCCTCCGCAGCGTGGGCAGGTGTCTGACGACCCCGCACCGCTGCGGGAACAAACCAAGCGGCAGCTGGCAAGGCTGCATAGGGTGCACAATAAGATCAAGACCGCAGGGCAGGCGTAAGCTTGTTCGCTCGGTACGTTGGTATGTGATAGCAGTCATGGTGGCGTCTTCGTTCGTACCCGCAGGGGCGAGGCCTGCTGCTGCCTCGCATGCTTTATTGCCGACCGATGGCACTAAGATTGCGGGCCACACCAATGTCAAGTGACAGGACCTGGGCAACTCGCAAGTCGATCCTTTCTTGCAGCACGAGAGCCAGGACGGCAGTGGGGCAGCAGTGGGTCCCAACTCCGTTTCACCTGTGCCTGGCCCACAGGTCTTTCCAGCCTTGGCCGTGGCTCAAGTTTCCCTCAGTGCTGCCGACAACCGTCCCAAAGCCAACAGGGCGCAGGCGAAGTTACCCGGCAGTCCAGCAAGTTGCGCATCCAACGCTACTTCGTTCGGCCCGTTGGTGGATTGACTGTCCGATTGGGACCATGGGGCTTCAGCAGCGCAGAAGAATCACGCTTGTCAAAGTTTGCTCGCTGACAAACAACACGCTGTCCTAGACACGGGGTACCAGGGGCTGTGGGCGGCCGCCGCGCCGAACGAGGACGGAGGGCCTGGGACGTCAGGTGGGGTGGTCTGATTGGTGCCCCCATTTGCGATGGTCACGGCGCCACCTGAGCGGCAGGACCCCGCGCCAGTCCCAGGCCGCGCCGTTGCCGCCCACGTCCATTGGGGAGTCCCCCACGGCTTCGCCGTCTTTTCCGCATGTGTCAAACTCAGTGTAGGCCTTAGCCAGGTCATCAGCCAGCACCTCTGGACTATCCCCGACTACGTCAGAGCACTCAAAGCCAAGCAGCAGCCGTGGATCAGGTGTGCTGAGTTCAATATGGGGATTGAGGTGCTAACGCAGACACCGTGGCTCGGTGCAGTCCAAGCAGTGCCGTTCCTGCCGCTGGCCACGACGTGCCGGCAGGCGCGTACAGGCACCACCATCGATTACTTTGTGGCCAGTCAAATGCTAGCCTCGCGCCCTGGCCCTGTCGCTCACGTGGACGAGTCAGCCAGCACCTGTCCTCCTCCTCCTCCTCCTCCTCCTCCTCCTCCTCCCAGCACCTGTCCTCACCTGCCTGTGTGCATTTCGGTTAAAGCTGCTGGCTCACCCATGTGGGCTCGCGCGGCCCGCTGCCCGCCATCCATCCCCGCTGTCCCACCCACCGGCTGCGCGCGCCCTCCTGCGCATCCCTGGAAGGCCGTGCTGGAGGTTGCTGGCCCCGAGGTTGACCAGACGTGCGCCGACAGCACCACCATCCCAACCCAACAGCACCCACGATCATCACAATCACCATCATTAGCATCACCATGCCCATCGTGACCATACTCGTCATCGCTATCGCCATCACCGGGACTAGTATCGCCTCCTCTCGTTCTTTCTCTTCGCAGACCACTTGTATGGTCATCGCCCCGCGGACCAGCCCTGCCTTGAGACCGCGAAGTGTTTGCAGGGATCCAGCCTGATTTAGAAGGGCAATATGTGGGGAAATCCTTGCGAGAAATGGGGGGGGCTCAGCGCTTCCCAACTCCTCCTAATCCTCCCCATCATCATACGCATCAGCATCATCAGCTTCGTTATCTTCATCACCACCACTACCACAATCATCCCCCTCGTCCTCCTCCTCCTCCTCCTCCTCATCATCATCATCATCATCCTCATCAGCATCATAATCGTCATCATCATCATCAACATCATCACCAGAAACAGTATTACCATCATCATCGTCAGCAGCATCATCATCACAATCATAGTAATCATTACCAGCAGCAGCATCATCAGCATTATCATCAGCATTATCATCATGACCAGCATCATCATAATCATCAGCCCCGCCGTCGTCGTCGGCATCAACATCATCATCACCACCATCAGCATCAGCATCATCAGTATCATCAGCATGTTCACCATCATCACCAACCTCATCATCATCATCATCATCATCATCATCAGCATCATCACCATCAGCATCATCGTCGTAGTCGTCGTCGGCGCCGTCGCCATCGCCGTCGTCATCATCCTCAGCACCAGCGTTATCATGGTCATCATCATCATCATCATCATCAGCAGCAGCGTCAGCATCATCGTCAACGTCATCCCCGTCGCCGTCGCCGTCGCAATCATCAGAATCAGCCTCCGAATCAGCATCATCAGAAACCTCAGCATCATCATCATCACCACGGCCGTCACCACCACCATTAGCATCAGCACCATCGTCAGAGAAAGCATCATCATTAGCATCATCATCAGCAGCATCGACATTAACATCCCGATCACCATCGCCATTACCACCACCACTTCCAGCATCATCATCAGCATCAGCATGATCATCATCAACATCATGTTCATCATCATCATCGCCAACCGTATCCTCAGCATCGTCAGCATCATTAGCATCGGCATCAGCATCGTCAAAATCGTCGTCAGCACTATTGTCAGCATCATCATCAATAGCACCATCATCTGTATCATCAGCATCATCGGCAGCAGCAGCATCATGATCATCGTCCGCAGCATCAACATCACCTGCGTCTGCATCTGAATCACCATCATCATGGTCATCTCATCTTCATTAGCCTGATCATCCTCAGCATCAACAACATCATCATCATCAGCATCAGCATCATCATCATTATCGTGATCTTCGCCACGGTCACCACCACGAGCACCATCATCCCCGTCAGCACCATCAGCAGCACCATCACCATCTCCATCCCAATCACCATTACCACAATCATCGACATCAGCATCAACATCATCATCAGCAGCATGATCATCAGCCTCATCATCAACACCATCAGCATCATCATCGTCAGCATCAGCAACAACAGCATCATCAGCAGCAATAGAATCAGAATCAGCACGACCATCACCATCCCAATCCCGATATCCATTAGCACCATCATCAGCAGCATCATCATCAGCAGCATCATCATTATCATCCGTCTCATCATCAGCATCAGTATTCTCATATCATGATCATCAGCATCATCACCAGTATCATCATCAGCATCCTTATCGTCATCACCAGCATCATCATCAGCATCATGAGCATCACGATCGCCATGGTCACCACCACCACCAGCATCATCACCCCCATCACCATCATCAGCATCATCATCGCCATCCCCATCACCATCACCATTACCACGGTCACCATCATCATCACCATTTTCAACATCAGTTTCATCATCAACTTCACCAACCATATCCTCATCATCGCCATCATCAGCATCAACATTAGATCAGCATCAGCATCAGCATGATCAGCACCACCATCCCCATACCCATCACCATGTCCACCATCATCAGCAGCAGCAGCCCCACCATCATGACCACCATCATCATCAACACCACTATCACCATCATCATCAGTATTATCATCATCATTGTCATCATCAACATCATCAGAATGTTCAGAATCGTCCTCATCCTCATCCTCAACCTCATCATCATCATCCTCCTCATCCTCCTCCTCATCATCATCAACATCATCATCACCCCTCTCCTGCTCCGTCTCGCCCTCGTCCGTCTGCCGCTCTATCGTCTCATCCTCACCCTCCTCTTCTCGGCACAGAAGCAACTCTAGACACATCCAAGCCGTGGCGGACAGGGCACGACCGACGACGACAATGACGACGACGACGACGACGACGACGACGAGGGCATTCCAAGCTTCATCCCAATGCCAACCAGCCCAGACCTCCATTCGGGCCCCCCATACATACCCACCAGAACGACCGCCCAAACGTGCTGCGCTACCCAACGACGCTTCAACTCCTCACGCTGGTCCTCCTCATCCTCCTCGTCATCCTCATCTTCCTCGTCCTCACGACCTCCTCGTCCTTCGTCACGAGCCTTCGTCCTCTGCTTCGCCCTCCTCCCCCCCTTCCCCTCCCCCTCCCCCTTCCCCCTCCTCCTCACACGCCCTCCTCATGCGCGCTCCTCCCCCTCCTGCCCGCTCCTCCCTTCCCTCAACCCCCTCGTCCTCCTGCCGCGCTGGGCCCCCTCGTGGCTCCTCCTTGCCGCGCGCCACTGGGAGCAGCAACGACGGCAGCGACAGCGGCGGCGGCGGGGGCGGCTGCTTGCCCGTGTAAGGGAAGTGCTGGGAGGTGAAGTAGTAGTAGAAGGCGAAGAACTCGAACGAGAACACCGCGAAGAAGCCGGTGATAATGCCTCTTCGGAAGGAGCGGCAGCTCTGTGAGACGCACGGGAGGCAGGAGGGCCGCTAGAAGCCGCTTCTTGCTCCTCCTCCTTCCCCTTCCTCCTCCTCCTCCTCCTCCTCCTCCTCCTCCTCCTCCTCCTCCTCCTCCACATCATCATCATCATCATCATCATCATCATCATCATCATCATCATCATCATCATCATCATCATCATCATCATCATCATCATCATCATCATCATCATCATCATCATCCTCCTCCTCTTCCTCCTCCCCTTCTCATCCTTCTCTTCAATCTATATCCTCGACGTCCTCCTGCTACTTCATCTTGTTCATCATCCGGCCCCACTGGCACGCTGAGGCCTGTTTCGAAACCCTAAGAAGGCCCCACGACGGACCAGAGAGGCCCCAAGGCAGACTCCTGGGGTGGTAAAAGGTAAAAGTAAAGCCTTGCACTCGCCATGCTCGCGTCATGACCGCGTGTCCTAACGTACGTGTTCCAAGACGGAATCACCATCCGCAGTGCAAGCGAGATGAAGCCCAATTTAACAATTGGTCTCGCTGGTACCACATAAACCCACGAGCCCAATGCCCTTGCAGGCTGTTCAACTCGGACTCCACATTGAACATCCTGTCAGGACCGCAGGCCCAGATAGGAGAGCACACTCGACTCGGATCGTGACCTTGGCGGGGAAGCCTTCCGCCTCTGGAATGTGGAACGGCCCTTGGCGATTGTTGCCCTCGCATGTGGGAGGAAACCGAGGCGCGCGTCGATGAGGACCCCAAACAACAAATGAGTTCGCATGATGTCAAATCCCATGTTGACGGAGTTCAGAGTGGTGCTGCCGCCATTCAGGACCATGCGTTCCGTAAGAAGCCGAGGAATGCAACCCTCCTCCTCCACTTTCTCGCTCATCGCACTCTTCCTCCCTCCATCCTCCTCCCTCTTCCCGCTCGCACCTCCACTCTGTTCCCTCCCCTCCTCCCCCCGCTGCTCCCGACGCTGACGCTGGTGGGACATCTAACGCCATCGGTAATGTGGCTCCTGATGCTCCCGTGTAATGTGACATCTAACGCCATCGGTACCCCCGCCCTCAGCCAGCGCGAAGGCGAGGAAGGAGAAGAACTCCTGATATAGAAGGGGAGGAAGCGAGCAAGAGGGTAATGACAACCCTCCTGCTCCCATTCCTCCTCCTCCTCCTCCTTCCTCCTTCCCCCCCTCCTCCTTTTCCTCCTCAT